GCAAAGTTTTGTGCAAAGCTATCGACAGTGCTGGTTGTTGTTGTTGGTGTTGTTGGTGTTGCAGTTGCTGTATTTGCAATTGATGTTCGGGCGCACTCCGAGCCACTAGGCGATGTAAGGAAGCGCCAGCTACAAAAGGAAGCCAGCAAGGCGGCCAAGGAGCAGCGAAGCGCCACTGTCCCAGTTGCTTGTTTGATTTGGCTGGCTGCATGGCTGGCTGGTTCGTTGACTGCTTGGCTGCTTGGCTGGTTGGCGTGTTGGCCAACAAATTGCAGCCACAAGAAACTGTTTTTTGGCTTCCGACTTGTTTGGCAGTCCTTGTCTGGCTGCTTGCTAGCAGCCTTCATTGATTACTTTGTTATGGATTTTGTACGGCTGATTTGGTTTCAACAATTCCTAGTATGCTACCCTCTGCCAATTTCTTTAGATTACAACAACAGCAGCAACAACGAGCCCCGTCTTTGATTGCGGCAATCATGGAATAGCGTCAGTGCAGCCCTATATATTCAATATACACACACTCAATAAACAGAGAACGATGCCGGAGCATTGCAGCAAGGATATTGCAGCAGGCGCACTCGATTGCGATAGTTGCATCAATTTAACCATAATACATAATGTCAACAACAAATTCAACTTTGATATTTGTATGTGTATGCGTATGTATTTGTATGCACATAATTGTGGTGAATAAAACGCAATTAAAATGCAAACCAGGCGGCGCTTTATGATTAGAGAACGCGCTACAATTTTATTCACGTTTCTGACTTGTTCCACGGCGTGAAAAAACAACAGCAACAAAAACAACAACACAGCACAAGCTTAACTAACAGCTGGGGGACTTCCAAGTGGCGCATGGAATAATTCAGCAAGCAGACAACAACAATAAATAATCATATTCCAAGTGCACTTGGCAAAAAACTAATTAGCTAACTTTAATTTTTAATAATTAAATTATTTTAGTCAGCATTTATAAATATATTTTTTGGAGTGAATGTAAGCACAACATAATTATTAATTAAATTAATTAATTAAAAAAGAATTGTTTGCTTGTCAAGGTTTTCAAAAATAAATAAATAAAAAATATTATTTTATTTTGATCAACAATTGATTTTCAAGTATTATTTATAATATAATTATTGTTCGGTTATTTATTATTCTACGTTCTATTTGTCATTTGTTTCTCTCAGTGCCAGCATGCAGCACTCACAGTTACAGCTAGACTGGGCCAGCACTTAAGTGAAATGGCTGTAGCTCAACTTTGGCCAAATGCAGTCGAAATGACAGTCAACAGCGGGCAGCAGACAACAGCAGAGGATGTGGCTTCAACGTCTCTGTTGGCTGTTGTCCGTTGTCCGTTGTCTCTTGTCTACAAGCCACAGGTAACTGGCAGGCTGGGCCGCAGGGGCGTGTTCTGGCCAGAACTTGCCGCAGGTCAGGTGAGCAAGGTGCGAGTGGTTTTTTAATTTGTGAATCGCTGGCGATTCTGAGTGCCGTTGTTGTTGCAATACATAAACATGTATAAAAGTGTGTGTGAGCAGTTCAATGACCGCTAATACAAGCATAGATTGCAAATGCATTTCATTTTTTTACTTCTTTGATTATTGAATTTCATTGATAATTGCTAGCGACGTGCATGCTGCATGTTGCATGTTGCATGCTGTTTGTTGCTGCCCGCCGCACAGTAGTTTAGCTGTTTGTTTGTTCGATTCTAATTCGATTTAGTATGTTGGCATGTCTGCGCCGCGAGCGCCTTGCCATTTGTCAAAATCGATTCGAATTTCAATTTGGGTTAAATGCACTCAATCCAGACCTCGCCGGCTCAGTGAACTACTTAACGCAGTCATTGAACTTTGCTATAATTTCACGAATCTCTATCGATTAGTCAGAAATGGCTGTCGCAGCTGAGCATCAGACGACGATTGACACGTTTGCATTAATAGATTTTCGGAACGAGTTTTTTTTTGATTTGTTTATCAGTTTATGGCATTTGGCATCGCATCATGTGCCAAATGATCAATCAACAAAATTGTATAAACTTTTATTCTTTGTATTCAAATGATATGCAAATGTTTATAAAAGAAATTAATGTCCTTGGCACACTGAAGACTAAGTAACCAGGTAGGAACTGGGACTGGAACTTGAAGTGGGACTTGAACTGGAACTGGTTCTATATGAAACATTTAAGACTATCGCTTCTGCTTTAATTTACATAATGCTAAAAGTATAATTGATACTATATTCAGTATATATAGCACCAGTCTCTGCCCTTAATAGACAAAGTTTACTTACTTACATACTACATATCTACATACATATATCTACTCAAATATCCAGGTAACCTTGTACTATGATAACACATTAATTACATTACCCTTTAAAAAATTCAAAATTGATATTTATTTATAACTGAAAATGATATAGCATTTTGTTAAATGATGCAGCTCGAGCACATTAATGACTTTACAGCTTAATTAATATAAGACGTGGCTTTGGGGCCTCTAACTACTCGTTTGCAGCTGATTAGAGCAGGCAATAAACACAAGCCTGAAGTGATATTAAAAGCAACAGTAATACGCTTGACCAACATGCCGAGGCAGTTATCCAAGGTGTTAGGGCTGATCAAATGATTTCGACAGACATATATATATATCAAGAAATTGACAAAACAAAAAAAACCAATTGTTTGTCACGCGAGCAACTCAAAGTTTTTGTGTTGTTGGCACGCTTCTTTGTGTATTTGAAGTGCCATGCAAATTGAGTACTTAGCAAATTGTTGTAATTATAAACAGAAAAAAAAAACGCACGCAATGTCGCGCGCGTTTTACCGGCGATTTTAAATCGCCTGCTAAAAATGTCGGGGGAAAAATGATTCAATAAATGAATGAATTTCAATTGTTCATGTACGCTTTTTACATACTATTATCACTTTGTAATGGCCATTTATTAAATGAATATCCATTCAATAATCAATTTGAAATGAGCTGAATATAATCATTAAATTTAATGACCTAACCAAGTTAAAACTATATATTTTATTTGATTAAACTTGAATGGATTTGAATTGCATTATACTTCTTGACAGCCTAGCGAGCAATCTACAAAATTATAATGCAAATGACTAATTGAGCTTGCCGCAGATCAAAACAGGAATTGGAGCAGGTGACGGAAAGAGATACAAAAAGATATGTATACTACAGTGGCTCACAGCTTATTTCAACGAGCACCTCAGAAAAATGTTGTTGATCTAATCTAAACTATTGGAGATATCGAAAAATTTAAACGCAAGTTTGTAGTGTGCTGTTTAAACTAATACAAAATTAATTAATTTATTTTTAAAAT